AGTGGAGCCAGGATGTATCCCTGGTGCACAAAAGGACTTTGCGAACACATCCCCCATGGAGGGATAACTGCCTTAATCTAGAGACAGGAGAAAAGCCCTAGTCCCTACTTCACATGACCTGTCAGATCTACATGACCCCAACTGGATGGCATTCCCCTACATATGGAATTGGGGTGGGGGGATGGGAGGGGAGGGTGGTTAGAGTGCATGTGAGAGGGTAGAGAGGGTAAAAAGGAGGAAAGGAGGGAGGGAGGGAAGATGGGGGGAGGGAGGAAGAGGGAACTGGGATGGACATGTAAAATAATAAATTAAATTTAAAAAAATTGCTTTGACTCCAAAATTTAAGTTCAAGGACAAGTTACTGGGGAAAAGGATTTCTACTTTTGTTTCCACAGAAAATGAAAAGTTGTGGATTCCTTCCAGACTAATGTGGTTTGATCACGCCAGACCGCCTAAAACAGAGTACGAGGTGATCCTACATTCAAAACAGCTGGACAAAGCAGCCTTGCAGACTACAGCCAGGATTTCTGAATCTTCTTCGAATCCCCTCATGACAGCGCCCCTTATCAGCAAGAAGTAGTTTGGAAAGAACAACACCCAAATTCCCAAATATTGTCTATAAATGTTTGTTTTCATTTAAATGGACTTTGTTATATAAAATAAATTTTAAAAAAATAAAAAAAAAAGAAAGAAATTGTGCCTCTGTTAAGTCCAAAACAGGGAGTAAGTGACAAGAGATCTTTTCAATATAAGACTTGTCATTTTCTGGTCTTACATAGATGCATACCTAACTTGGATAAAAAACAAAAGTTGAATTTCTTTCTAAAGCAGGTTTTTCTGTTTCTACACTACATAGCAAGGGATGTTGTGTGTAGCTCACATCTACTTCTGCATCTTAGAAGCACATAAACAAAACAACTATGACCTTTCATTGCTTGAAAAATGTATTTCTGTCTTTTTATAGTAAATGCATCATGTCGTCTGACATGTCAAGGTCAGTAGTCAGTTATATAAATGAATCCAGTAACAAATAAAAAGCATTTGTCTGTTGTTCGTTTGTTTGTACTTTGGGACAGCAGGGCACATTCTCTAGCCCAGGCTGACCTTGAACTCACAATTCTTTTGATTCAGTTTCCTGAATGCTGGGATTACAGACATGTGCCACCACACCCATCTAAGATCTCCTGGGGGGGGGGGGTGGGAATGTAAGTGGGGTATTGTGCTTCTGCCAAAGACATCTGAAGGGGGTTAGTTCTGTGGCACTGACCACGCCCATTGGGGTGGAGCCATGGGCGGAGTGACCTGTGGAAGGAGGTCGGAGGGAGCCAGGAAAGGTGCTCTCTTTCTGGCGTCACGAATAACAGTACTCATTACAGACATCTATTTGCTTAAGTGTTTTTAGAATATCCTTAGTACCTATAAGCAGCTAGCAAGACTTAGCTATCTGCCTAAGGTGTCATCTTGTCCAGTTTCTGTTGGAATTTCTGGAAAAGAAATAATAATGTCTCCTTTACACTCAAATTTTTATCTGAAATTAAACACAGAAACTTTATGAAAAGACTTGGATATTCCATTTTTTTTCTAACTAAGTGATCTCTACCACCACCACCCCATGTATATAAAAAATTGGTCACCATCTTGTGATAAATACAATACATGACCAAACAGCCACTTGAGAAATCTCATCTACTTCTCCCTAATCCTCAAGGTTGCCTGAAGCTAGGCTTGGACTCTCTATTACCCTCATGCTGAAAGTTGAGATTAACTCTGCATCATCACTTTATCCACTAGTATAAATGCATACTGTAAGATTACTGTTTTCTACCAGAGGCAGCTGACCTGAACAAGGGGGAGATAATGGGCCCCCACACTGATAGCTGGGAAAGAAACCAGCATTGTACTGATTCAGACCCCCTAAACACAGGTCTCAGTTAGAAGGCCTGGGCAGTCTAAGGGACCTCTGACAGTGGAACCAGGATATATCCCTGGTGCATGAAAGGACTTTGGGATCACATTCCCCATGGAGTGATACTCCCTTAGCCTAGAGGCAGGAGGGAGGGCCTAGACCCTACTCCAAATGACTTAACAGATTTTGATGATCTCTCCTGGAAGAAATCACCCTCCCTGTGGAGTGGGGGAGAATGGGATGGGAGGGGGGTCAGGAAGTGTGGGAGGAAGAGAGGGAGAGGGAACTGGGATTAATGTGTAAAATAAGAAATAATAATTTTAAAAAAGATCACTGGTTTCTTTTAATAAATTATACATACTCAGATATGTGTATTTTAATTATATTAGGCTTTTAAAGTTTGTCAATTACTGACTTAGATGGTAAACCCTACGAGATAAGAATTATTTGGATGGAGGTGAGCATGCTTGGTTGGTTGGTTTTTAGTTTTCCTTTCTAAAGGGCATCATATAGGCACAAGAAAATTTAGTACTATTATTACTGGGGTGGCCACAGGTCACTTTTTACCAGTAAAGATACTCAGATACCCACAATTTGATTTCAAAGTTGATTTTTTTTTTTTTCAAAAGAAGAGGTGGGAAGGATTCATAAGGAAAGAAGATGCACTGTGGCAAAATGCAGTTACATTTTTACATTTGGGGAAATACAATCCAGATGTTAGAATATCAACTAAATGAGCCTGGATTCTCATCCAGCTCCCTGTTTCACAGGAGAAACATGCTCCTGATTCAGTGCTTTGCAAGGCAGTGCCTTGCTGGGGTGTGTGCTTCCCGGCCTAGAGTGCGTCCCAGGACATGGCTTCCCCTTCTGGGCGATTATTATCATATATAAAAGAGCACCCTACAATGAAGCCACAAGTTTACTACACGGGTCTGGCATGGTTTCAGGGCATTCTGGTGGCTTAGCTGGTTAAACCCTGCCAGCATCCCCAAGATGTGGCTGTTACAGAAGCCCGCTTTACCTGAAGAGCCTGGGGTACAGTTTAAAAGCCCAGGATCCTGCCAGCTAGCATGTGGCTGATCCACAAACTCCACTGAAAACATACCTGAAACCCCCACTTAACACTCTGACAGCTGCCAACCCACCAAGTAAAGGTTGAGCTCTATAGGAAACACCCTGAGAGCTTACAACTGTCTCTACAAAGATTAGGGAATTGAGTGGAGGTCAGCCCGGAAAAGAAACTATTTTTATTTGTGTTGATTTTAGAGAAAGGATTGTATGGTTATAACCTTATCACCTGTAAGATACACACTGTGTAGCAAACTTTCGCCGTTAAACTGAACGGGGAAATAAAAGCAAAGAGATCTGGGTATATCTACCAATCTTGGTGTATTTAAAAAATGATGACAGCATACAAGCTGGAGTCCTTTTAACCCAGGACACAGCAGTCCCTGAGCCCTCTATCACACTCTGGCCCTCCCAGCACCAGGGATCAGGGCCACACAGCAGGACACACAGACAGATCTGCCAGACCTCTCACCCCAGGCCACTGTGCCAAGGTCACCACCTCACTGGGTTCAACAAGACAAAGACAGGGTTTGCAAACCTCGGATCTAGCCAGGAGGGGGTCACACACACCCCCATCCCCAGCATGCGCTGGGAATTCTCCAGGCTTTTAGAAGCACAGAGGAGTGCCAGGACTGCAAGAGGCTGCAGCAGCCTGAGGACTGAACAGGGAGAAAAGTACATGGGGGTTTCTAGCCCAGCAGAGACAAATCTGCCACCGTAGGACACAACTTTCCTTTTACATGACCAGGGCCCTGCTTCAGCACCTAGCAATGATTCTGTGCAGACAGCCTGGAGTTCTTATGGTCAAACGTGCCCTGTCCACACTGTCAACATCACCTCTTCGCTCTACAGGCCTTGCTCTCTCAGTTCAAAGTGGCCAAATTGGAGAGAGAGGCCGCGGTGACAGCTCTCTGGAAACTTTTTCTGCCCACCTCACCTGTTCTGCATCTTCATGTTTCATACTATGCTGTCCCGAATCAGGCAGGCCCATGTCCCAGACGTCCAAATTGTGACAAGTCGGGTGCCTAGCTGGCTCGGGTCCCTCTTGATCTCAACGGGACAGCACCCCGGGACATCGGAGGCTTTGCGGGGAGGGGGAAGGGGGAAATACTACAGACGTTCAAGGCGCCTGCGCACCAAGAGACAGCAGAGGCGGGATTTCCCCAATATTCTGAACCCCAACCGGGACACCCTATGCGGGGATTCAGCAGTCTTTACAACAGAAACATAGGCAGTCGCGGGAAGGGAGGGGGTCTCACGCTCCCTCTAACCAAGGTCACAATCCCCAGTACTGAGCTCTCTGTCTAGTTTGGCTATTGCTCCAAGCCCTCAGCTACTCCGGGAGAAAAGCCCGGGAAGGGGACCCGTGGGACGTAGGCTCTGTCTGTGCGGGATCCTCCGGCGCGCACTCGGCCAAGTTCAGCTCTGCGCTCTTTTAGAGTCTGCGAAGCCCAATGCACCCAGGGGAACTGAGTGTCGCCCGAGTCCAGACACGGCGACGCAATTTGGTGGAAACCACAGAAGCTTGTTTATATGAGACTAGAGGGAGCATGGAAGAGTAACACAAAGAGCCTTTAAAGGGGACCTGGGGTCCATGGAAAGAGCAGCCAGGAAAGCCAGGAGACCCCCAAATAGTCAAGAAGCTGCGCGCCACTGCTGGGCGTCGCCCTATCAGGGGGGCACACGACAGCAATAGACAAAGTAGCAAGTTCCTGGACCACTAGGGACCCTGGAGCTGTCAAAGAGGGGGAAATCCTTGGTGTTTGACAACACCTGACATACTTGGGACTGCACTAGTTCAGAGGTTCCCTGGAATGGCTAGGTCCACCTCCCCAGGACTCTAGTATACCCCTTCAACAGCGATGGGCTACCCTCAGCCTGCCCTTGAACAAGTACCCCCGCTCACCCTCTTTGGGTGTTCGGGTTTCGGGGGAGATCTGCAGAAGGCTGAGGTGATGGGACTTTGGGGGGAACCACCCAGAACTGCTGGGTCAGAGCCAAGGGTCCAGATCGCGCTCCTGCTCACCTCGCTCACTGCTCTGGATGTAGCGCACGATGTCATCCAGGTCCAAGTCTTTGGTCTCGTCGAAATTGTAGGCAGACGTGTGCAAACCCTCCTCCTGGAAAACCTCGTGGACCCCCTCGAGGGTGAAGTAGCAATTCCTCTCGAGTTTGTCGTCGCTGTAGACCAGGGCAGCCCGGCTCCAGTGGTGGTGGCGGAACAGGGCGAGCATCATCTCTCCCATCTTGGCATAGGCAGGCGCCACGCGTGTGAGGTGAGAGTACTCAGTGTCCTTGTGCTGGAAGCCGGCGGCCAACGCTCCTGCAGACAGCATTGGCAAGTCCCAGTGCGACGCCAGCCGGGCCACCGGCGCTGCCGCGTACTCGCACACCGGCCCCAGGATGAGGTCCGGCTTGGCGCCGCGCGCCGCCGCCACGCGGTCCACCAGGCTGAAGAGCGCACGGTTACCGCAGTCCGAGTCTTCGTAGGCCACCTGAAAGCGAGTGCCCGGAGGCAGTAGCCTCCTCCCGGTGCCGTTGCCCTCCACGCTTCGCAGAGCATACTCGATGGCCGGCTTCACCCGAGCCAACGAGAACAAGTACGAATCGTCCCGGGGCAGCAGCACAAGCACCTCGATCTTTTGAGCCGCCAGCACCTCTCTCTGCCGGCGCCCGCTGCCTGGCCCAGTGTCCCTACCGCCACCACTCGCGCCGGCAGCCAGCAGTGCCCGGGCCAGCAGCACGCACGCCGAGAAAGTAAGCAGCAGCGGGGACTGCATCGTGTTGCCAGCAAGCCCTCGCCTTGGCCACGGCTCGCCCACTGCCCGCCCCCCCGCCCACCCTGCCCCTTTCCTCTGTCCCTGTTCCCCTTGGGCGCTCCAAGTAAACAAAATACCCCCTTGAGTAACGCGCCAAAAGAGAGAGGAAGACTCTTCTGCAGTATCTCTAGGTTTAAAAAAAAGAAAAACAGAAAAAAAAGCTAAGAAAGAAAAAAAGAAAAGTTCACCGAATGGAAACCTGTGCGTCTGTAATATACAAATAGACTTATTATAAATGTATATATATATATATATTTATATATTCTCCCTCCCTTTGCACATAGGCTATTTGGCTCAGAGGTGGCTTCTTATTTGGGCGTTGCTAAGGTTGCGTTTGAAGGCGTTATTTGTAAAAGAAAAAAAGTTAGACTTGTCCAGGTGCTTGTAATTGACGGTGCACCTCCTTCGCGTTTGATCCCATTGATTCGCACGGGTTCCTGGATCCATAGCCGGTGTTTAAATAGCGTGGCAGCGGCGGCGGAGCGCGTTACCACACATGGCGCGCCGAGGCCGGGCTTGTCTCTGCAGCGGGTGGGGTGGGTGGGGGTGGGGAGGGGTGGGGTGGGGGCTGGGCTGGGGGAGCCTCTCATTAACATTCTTACATCAGGGCTCCTCCCCGCACCCCTGACCTACTCGCTGTTGCCTGGTCCCTAAGCCCCACTCCTTGCCGGTGCTCAGCTTTGGCCCAAAGCTGTAGCCGCCCACGTCTACACCCGCGGGAGCCCTCACGGCGCAGCGCGACTCTAAGGTCCCCGCCTCTCGCTGGCTCCGCTCTCTCTAACCCCCGCTTTAAAAAAAAAAAAAAAATGTATGGATGTTTGAAAGGAAAGAAATGCGCGCACGCACATGCACAAACACACACGCATGCACACAATCTTCAAAGAGGGGCGGGGGCGTCTCCAAATTGGTGGCTTCAGTGCAAAATTCCATAGGTCTCCCTTGCTCTCGCCTCTTTTCTTGCTCCGGCCTCGTTCTGTCTGAATGCGCCCAGTTCTGTTCCACACCTGACCTTTCAGGTCCCCCAAACAAGGTCGGGGAACAAGGAAGAAGGTCCCAGTGCGGGGAGAAGATTCATTGCGGACCTTGTATGTCCATCTGGCCGGGGGCAGTTTCCCCACCCGTCCTTCCCCCACTAGGCGTGGGTCCCCTCCCTCTGGGCTATGGGGCACGCTAGAATCACAGTGACCACAGCCTTGGCTGTGTCTCAGGGCACAGACCCCTCCTCCGCAGGGTCACTGACACCAGAAAAGCGAAACTTGTTGCTTCGGATGATTCCACTCCAGGAAGTGTCACGGAGCTTGAAAAACATCACCCCAAAGGTTCTGTTCGCTAAACCCAGTAACTAAAAGAGACTGTCTTTCCCCCACCCCCACCCCGCCCCACAAAATATCTTTCCCCAGAGAATCCTTAAGTACCGAACAGCAGTCTGCTCCGACCCCAGTGCTGGGAGATCCAGCCGCTTCTGTTCCAGGATGCCCGAGACTCTGGGATGCCCAGAAAGGTCCTGCCTGGCAGACCCAAACTTCCCACTGATCACAACTATCACAGCGATGCAGAGGGAGTGGAAACGCTTGTGGGGACGTCCCAAACCAGAGAAGCAGCGCGCAGGACCACGCGGCTGCGCAGGTCCAAAAGGACCTGCACTCTTTGCGGTCGGTCACGCAGCAAAGACATTTGCGGTGGGGACAGGCTATTTTGCACGAGGTAGTTCTGACACTGAAGTGCTGCAAATTAAAGTTAAGTTTAACACGTTTTAAAATGTTCGTTCCTTTAGCTGGGCGTCGGTGTGTGCCTGAATTCTATTAGTCTAAAACGAACGCCCTCTTTCGGCAAAAACTTGCACGCGATTCCTTTCACCCAATTGCCCTGAGCGCCGCTTTTTTTTTTTTTTTTTTTTTTTTTTTTTTTAAATTCGGAGACCTCTAAAGTGTCTTTGCTCTCTTCTGTGGCTATGAAATGGCAGATTAAGGTGTCGGAGGATATGGCAACTGCAGGCATCAGCATTCTCTCCATCGCCCTTTCTAGCAGTGAAAATGTGATTCCAGGTAACTTTTCATACCTGGGGCCGGTTAGATTTTAGTTATGCATTGTGGTCCCAAAGCCTTCGCTGTAAGTAGGAGTTTCTAAATCCTGGGTGAGCTTTTGTTTATTTAATTGGAGCTGCTAACCAGTACTAAAAGAGGCTCCCATGTAAAATTTAACTCTGAAGAGTTATCTATGTACATTGGAAGCTGACATTTAGCGCTTCACAGCAATTAAATTCTTCCTGAACTCTTGGGAGAGCAAACATTTGTTTATAGGCTCATAGTTATTTAAGAAAATAAAAGAAAGACAACAGCTAAATCCTGGATTCCAAGGGTCTTAGAGGATTTCAACTGGTTGCCAGGAGACATGAAGGACGGAGGTTTCCTGTTACCACCCGGTATGCCCAGTGTCTGGGGAACACAGGCCAACAGTGATAGGATTCTGAAGTGCACTGTGCAGCGGGCTCACTAGAAGAGTGTGAGGTTTCAGTGGCACCCAGTGTGAGTGCCTCTCGCATCTCAGGCCTTGCCCTTGGGTCAACAGCAGGGCAGGGCAATTACGTTATGGCTAGGACCATAGCCTCCCTGTGGCCTTTAAGTAGGAGCTCTCAGTTTTCCAGTTTGTTGCTGAAGAGCACAGGCAGGCGAAAGCTGTGCATCTACCCAATAACAGAGGAGAGAAGGCCACAATGTTGCTACCCGTGTGTTCAACACATCCTTGCAGATTCCAAATAAACAAAAGCTAGGATTTAAAAAAAAATTCAAATGCAAACAAGCAAGAGATTATAAACAGTAATACAAGGGTTTGAGTGTAAGGAGGGTTTAGCTGCTTCCACTCAAAGAGTTCTTTAGGCAACCAGCTGGAACTATCATGTGTGACTATCATGTAGTTCTGCCATCTTAGGCTAGAAAAGACATCTGTGCTTCTATAGTTGAAGAACCATAGCCCAAAAAAGTGTACCTGTTATGTTTAAATACCTCTTTGTCCCCTTTGAATATTTTTTATTGGGAAAGGTCAACTATAATACTATGTAAAACAGGGTTGGTAACAACGCTGATTCCCACTGTAAGTGATATTCTTTGTATCACACTTAGAGCTGGACCTGGTGACACAGGACTGAAAGCCAAGCTACTTGGGAGGACATCAAATTCAAAGGCTGACCAGGCTGTAGAGTGATTCAAGGCCAACCTGGGCAAATAATAGGAGAAAGGAAGAAAGGAAGGAAGCAAGGAAGGAAACTGGGGATAGGGTTCAACGGAATATTTGCCTAAGATAAATTCAATGCCTAGTAACACACACAGTCACATAGACTCACATACACACATTCACTCATACACACTCAGTAGCATTCACACACACACACACACACACACACACACACACACACACACATAACCTCTTACGTAAAAATAAATTTTCAGGCTTTCCAGAACAGAAAAACTGAAAATAATACCACTTGATAATATAATTTTGTAATATTTTAATCATAAATGTTAGCAAAATGAGAGAGAGAATGAAAGAGAGAAGAGAAACAAATAGCCTTGCACTCACTTAGGTTTTAAATATTGTTCCTTTCCTGGAAGGGGGCAATTTTTTCACATTCAGAATTCAATTATCAACTTCAATTGTCAAAGAAAACAAAGGAATAAGATTAGCCTACTGAAAGTAGTGTTAAATGTGATGTTACAGAAACATTAGGTATTTATAGAATTTAGAAATGTTTACATCAATATTAGAAAGATATTTTGTTTCTAGTTCTGTGGAGTGAAGTTTGAATCCAGATAGTTCTCAGCCATTACCAAGACTACCATGTGAAGAAGTTACCATGATTCTTTGAAATGTAGTTTAAAAAAAAAAAAAATTCCTGGGGCTTTTTCTCTATTATCTCCCTGTCTCAGAACCTTGGCTGAAACCTGCAAGGTGAGGGTTCTTGCAGATTTTCAAAGGTCCCTTTCCTCTTGTCCAGTCAATCCTGAAGCCACCCTAAAGAATACTACAGTGAAGCCCTAACCCACAAGAACGCACCTTCTGGAGACAGAACTGTTGAAAACACTTCCCCCTAGAGGCAGAAAAGATGAAAGGGCACCACACATAATCCAAGACCCTTTCTGTAGTTTAATGAGTACTGAGATTTTCAGGTTTTTTTAAAACAGGCAGTTGATGTTTTAGAGGAAGCTATTCATGAAGTGAGAGAGAAATAAGCGGACACAAAAAAAAATTTAAACTAAATTTTGCCTCTGGGTTTCAGCTCTCCTTAGGGGACTCTACTAATTGAACCCTTTCTTCTAGTATAGAAATCTGTGATTTTTTTTTTTTTGGCCAATATTACAAATAATAGTAAGTATGTATTTTTATTTAAATTTATGACTCAATTTAATTGGAAGCTATAGTTAAATGTGGCTTCAATAGCTTCTCTTGAAAGTGCAGAGCTTTCCATCTATTACAATATTGTTTTCATTTCTCTGAAGATGTTCTGAGACACAATGACTGTAGAAAGATTTCTGAAACCCGTATAGCCCATCTATGACTTGGCCTGAGTACTGACATAAAAAGTGCAAACAATATAGTGTGTTAATTTATAGACAACTAGTCTAATGTAGTAAAAACAAGTATATGGGCCAGAGAGATGATGACCTGAGTCATCAGACACATATAGTGGAAAGAGACAATGGTCTCTCATAAGTAGCTTTGTGATCACCACATATGGCACACAACACCCCACACAAAAAATATGTAAATGTAAACAATTGAAACTTATATGTGCTTTAAATTCGTACATAGCAATACTGATTATATTTGATTAGGGTTTGGGGGTTTGGGATTGGGTTGGGTTGTTTGTTGTTTGTTTGTTTGAGCTGTATACTGTGTTCTTTGGAAAAGAACCTGAAAAGTGCATAAATATATAAAATGAAATTTTAGGCAAATGCATAGCCTCCTCTCAGGATTTTCTATCTGATGACCTCCCTCTCCTTAAGCCTTTAGAG